CTCTCTCTCTCTCTCTCTCTCTCTCTCTCTCAAAATAAAATAAAACAAACAACCCTCTCTCAAAGTAACTAGCTGGGGTTCCACAGAACTACATCAATCCTTTCTGAAGGCAGTGCCCCCAGTGACCTAATTACTCCACACTGGTCTCAGTCTCTTAAAGTGCCCACCAACTCAACCCATGGCACTGAGGACCAAGCCTCCAACATTTGAACCCTCGGAGACACACAACCCTAAATCACCTCTAGAATCACCAAGGACAGAGAGAGTGGTGAATTGGGAAGGAAGATGGACAGGTACCAGGTGTGAGAAAATGGAATTCTGTAGCTCAAGGTAAGAAACTTGGATGCTCTAAAAAACCTGAAGCTCACCTCACTGAATCACCCACTGGGTCTTAAAGCCACAGTCTTCCTAACCTAAAAGAAATGTCCAAGTCCACTGATGGAGAAAAGTGAAGAAAAAGAAGTAAATGGAGGGTGGGAACCTGTTGCATGAATTGGCTATTACTGTGTAACAAATAATCCCAAGCTTAACAGCTTAACACATACTGACTACAATATATAGGTTCCGTGTGTTGGGAATTTGGACACAGCTTAGCTTGGTCCTCTGGCTTGGAGGACTCTCTCCAGGCTGCAGATAACACATCAGCTGGGATAGCTGTTTCATCTCAAAGGTAAACTTTGGAAGGATCTGCCTCCAAGCTTGCTCATGTGGATGTGGAGGATTCAGTTCCTCATGAGATACTAGGCTGTGGGGCTTGGTCCTCACTGGCTGTTAGCCAGAAGCTGCCCGTGGTTCCTGGCCACAAGGGAGTCTGCATAGGGCAGCTCACAACAAGGTGAATGGCTTCCTTCAGATTGAGCAAGAAAAAGAACAACAAGAGATGAGCAAGAGAAGCCATGATCTCTGCTAATCTCAGAACTGGCATCCCATCTCATGTGCTAGATTCTACAAGTCTGAAGTCCCTGGGGAATGAGCCCAGCACAGAAAGACCAATACCACACCATCTCACTCCTATGTGGAATCTGGAAGAGCTATTCACATAGAAACAGGAAACAGAATAGAGTTTACCAGAGAACGGGGAGGATGTGGGGAGAAAGGGATGAGGAGAGGCGGGCCAACGGGTACAAAGTCAAAACTGGAGAGGAGAAATAAGCCCTGCTGTTCCGCTACCCAGTCAAATGGCCAGAGTTGGCAGCAATGCGATGCATATTTCAAAATCCCTAGAAGTGTTTCAAATGGTCTCACCACAAAGACATGATGATGAGTGATTGAGGCAATGGAAATGCTAATCGCTGCGATTCCAAAGCTGCATAATATACGCGTGGAGTATACTGCACTCTGCAAATATGTACAATTACTGTGTGTTTTTAAAAAATAAATCCATTTTACATTTTTAAAAAACTAAAATGAAACAGAATGATTAAAAAAAGATAAGTGAGTCATTAGGTCCATACTCAAGGGTTCGGATAAGATTGCACAGGAGGTATGAAGACCAGAAGGTGGGGGTCATGTGGAGTCATCAGGATGGACCATCTCACCTAAAGGACACTATATTGAGGAGTGGATGGCAAAAGGCCAGCTAATGAAGGATAGCATAGAAGTGGGGGAAATGGTGTGACAGGGCAGGGGGGAGGGCATTCAAGTCTCAGGAGTTCCTCAGTTTCAAATGCTACTTACAGGTCACTGGAATGGGACTAAAAAAAAAAATGGTATTTGCCAACTGGAAAAGGACATTTGCCTGAGTCATTTCAGTGGGCTGACGGGGTTACAGACAGGGGGACCAGCCCTGATCACTCACTGACCAGCACAGTCACCACCTTTGAAGGAGGTGACTAGGAAGGACCTCCCTTCACAGCCTGGGGCTTCCCACTGTCTCCTGACACCTCCACCAGGAAAGCGACCTCATTTCTCAAAGACAGAATGGATTCTAGGTCATATCCCCCTGGAACAAGAGACCAATTGATGTGATTATCTCCAAGAGAAAGGGGGGCACCTACTAAAAGTAGAACCTTGTGCCCCAGAAGGGAAGACATCGGGGAACCTAAAAAGGGGTCTCTGATAATTACCTGCCAAGATTTCAGAGCAAAGGGCATCTCCATGTAATACCAAAAGAAAGAAAAGAACAACTAGGAGTTTTAGAAGGTTCTCCTTCCTCATCTATCCTGCAATTCACCCCAGGATAGAACTCAGTTCCCTACTTTACATGAGTCATTATATAGAACAGACAGCCCCAGCAAAGACAACTGCAAGAAAGAATTTCCAAAAAGTGTCCTTTATTATAAAAATCAGAGCACTAATATGATTTCCCATTGGCCTGAGTTAAATATATTTAGGCTTCAGTATGTTGAGAGAAGGGAGATGTGTACACACACATGCATAGGGAAATGGTTAGAATTACATGAGCATGTTTACAATAGGTATCTTTGGACAGTATAGCTTAAAATAATTCTTATTTTCTTTATTATGGTTTTCTGTATTTTACACATTTTATATAATGTGTGTGTGTGTATATATATATTACTTTCATAACAAAAAATATTTTGTTGGCTTAAGAAAGAAATTGGGTCTTGAAAAATAATGAGACATTTTCCCAGGCCTCAGGCTTATGTGTCTCCCTCCATTTCTATAGAGATTGATTCCAGAATGCGCCCAGGTACCAAAATCATCAGGGGCTCAGGTTCCTTATGTAAAATAGCATAGTATCTGCATAGATCCCACCCACATGCTCCTATATACTTTAAATCATCTCTAGATTATGTAAAATACTAAATACAATGTAGATGTCTCCATAAATAGTTGAAATACTGTATTATTTGGGAACAACAGCAAGGAAAAAAGTCTGTACACATTTAGTACAGATGTGATTTTCCCCTGGACAATAGCTGAGTCCAGAGATATGGAATCCACAGATTTCAGAGGCTGGACCACACCATGTTTCTGAGCATTTTTCAAATGTCACCATTTTTTTAATATTTTTTTTAGTTGTTGATAGACCTTTATTTATTTGTATGTGGTGCTGAGAATCAAACCCAGTGCCTCACACATGCTAGGCAAGTGCTCTACCACTGAGCCACAACCGCAGCCCTCAAATGTCACCATTTTTGATCTCTGAATCTCCTGAAAATAAAAGCTCATCTCAGCCCCATGATCAGTGGTTCCTTCCAGACACCTGCTGACCCATGAGCAGAAGAGAGCTCACCTGTGCCTCAAATGCAGGGACACATGTCAGGCTGGAGAAGTGTCTAAAGTGGGCTGTCAAAGCCAGGAAGGAGAGGTGAGTTTGGGGGAGTAGACACAGAGTCAAACTCAGGGTTGGGAAGTGAAAATGAAAAGTTGGCAAGATTGAGCAATGGTCTGTACCCACTTCAGTGCTCAGATAACAGCATTATGTACTAAAAGTGTGTTGAACCAATACAATGTCAAAATGGCAGAGAACTCACCCTCACCTATAGCCCCAATGAATTTCACCAGAGGGTCATCTGGAAGCCAAAGTCCTCCTGCATAGGCCTGGCATGAGAAAGCTAACTTAAGTGTCTCTGGGTAAGCTGATGCAATGTCTTCCTGACAGAGGTGCTCGGTACAACAGGCAGCCAACCAAGACAATAGGATCTTCTAGTCAGGAAAGAGGGACCTCAGAATGAACAACAAAGGTGTATGGCTGAGTGAGGATGGCTGTCTCACGTGAGCTGTCTCTGGGAAAACCCTCTCTGCACCACCTTGTTTGGGAATAGCTCCATCCAACCAATAAAAAGAAAGCTAAGCACCTGCACAATGCTTGCCTTATGGTAGCCCTGATAGCAGATGCTCCACTTGTGCTAACGCATGTCCATTAACTTAGTTGCCAGATGAGAAAACGCAGCAGTGGTTAAGAGACTTTAATTAAAGAATCAGAATTAGAATTTGAACATTGATTAATTCCAGAATAGTGAACTTACACTCTCTTGACCTCATGAAGACAGCTGAGCCAGAAACCATTGGTTCTGGCAAGTGATAACTATGTTAAACACATAAGCCTCCATCACCAAAGTTTGCCTGCGTCCTTCTCTTCCTGGTAACAGACCTCTAGCATGGAGGTTGCAAACTTCATTCCTCCCCATTACTGAATGGCCCTTTGGTTTTACAAAGCCGGGGGTGTTCATTCCTTCTTCTTTGCCCCTCTTATTCTTTTCTGTTTCTGTAGCTTGCACTAAAAATCCTGAGTGATGGGGAAAATGAGGCTTAGTCATTGTGGTAAGGAAGGGCCACTTTAAGATGGAGATATTTAAGCAAGCTTCTTAGGTTGTAAAGGAGCCAGCCACGGGAAGAACATGAAAGGGAGTGCTCCCTGCAGAAGGAACAGCAAGTTCTAAACTTTCACGTGGGAATGAGCTTAGGATGGCCTCAGAGGCTGGAAGAAGGGCCAAACTGCTGGAAAGTGTTTATTCCAACGTATTTTATTCTTTTTGATGGTATTATAAATGGAATTGTTTATATTATATTACATTATAAATGGAAATGCTTCTTAATCTCACTTTTTGATTGTTCATTGCAAGTGAATAAAAACATAATTGACATGTGTATGCCAATCTTATGTTCTTCAACTTTGCTGAACTTATTGGTAGCAATAGTTTTTCGGTGGATTCCTTATGGTTTTGTTAATGCAACATCATTTTGAGGGCAAACAGGGATATCGTTACTTCTTTCCAAAATCAAAAAGAAGGAACAGAGGGAGAAAGAAGAGAATGAGGAGAAGGAGAAGATTGGCTTTCTCCAGGATTCAGAATTCCAAGGCACCTCTGCTGGACTCCAGAGCAAACCCTAACCCCGCTCCGCTGCCTTTCCCTTCCCCCACTAATGGAACTCCAAGGGCGCCGTTGTCCCTGTCGCCATGGTGATGGACGCTCTCAATTAACTGGCTCCACAAGAAAAGAGTTGTGTGGTTAGGGCGGGGCGGGAAGAGGGTGGTCCCTGCGCCTCTACCGTGGAGATTCCAGGTTAGGCCCAGGCGTCAAATAGGAACCATGCCGGTGTTGCTACCCGCAGCTGAGCCCAGCGAGGACTCACGGGTTGGAGCCCCAGAATGGCGCGAGGAGGCACTAGCCAAATCGCGGAAGGCGCACCTTCTGACCGACCGCTGCGGGCAAGAGGCAGTGGCCATGTGGCAACCCAAGGACAGTGTGCGGGACCCGCACATGGCGCACCACCTCTGCCGCGCCGCCTACATCGAGCCTTGGCGCTTCCGCGTGGAGATGCTCAAAGGTGGCGGCACCGTAGAGAAGCCACCGCCGGGCGAGGGCGTCACGCTGTGGAAAAGCAAGATGAAGCCCCCGGCGTGGTATGCTCGCCTGCCGTTGCCCTTGCACCGCGACGCGCGCGCCATGCAGACGGCCGAGGCGGTGCTCACACACGCGCGCGGGGCGCGCCTCACCGCCGCCCGCCTCGGCCGCGCCCAGCATCAAATCAACGTGCAGCTGCAGCTGCTGCTGCGCCAGCGCGAGGCAACGGACGTCAGGCTCAGCGAAGTGCGCAAGGGCCTGCTTATCAACAAGCAAAGCGTCAAACTGAGGGGCTACCGACCCAAGTCTGAGAAGGTGGGACCCTCCCCACCACCAAAGCTAGTGGCAAAGCTGAAGCTTCGGGTCCAGGGTATTCAGCCTGAGAAAAACCTCCCCCATACCAAAGAGAATATCCCCCGTGTCCCAACTCTATAGTGAGTAGAGGCATAAGATGAGCACACCCCCAGGGTGAAATGCCTAAGCCCCCAAGTCACAGGGAGTGAGACCCACCCAAAGGGAGGAGATTCTCAGCAACCTTTCCCCAAGAGAGGGAAACTATTCCAATCCCCCAGCCAGGATGGCCTCGCTGAATCAGACTCAAAGAAAAAAAAAATCTTCCCAAAGAGTAAAATCCACAACCCCCAGCCCTGGCATAAAACCACCCACCAGCCCCCCATGCCAAGTGAGACCCTTAATCCACCTAAACCCAGTGAAAAACGCCTCCATCCCCAGCTGACCTGTCTCACCCAAATGAAACTCGACTCAAAATGTGAAATAAAACCCAAGCTTCCAGGCTTAGGAATTGAGAACACCTTCCCCCAGGCCCTGGGAACAGTCCTATCTACAGACTGATACATCAAATTCCCGACCCTGCACCAAGAGTTAAGACCCCAGCCAGGGAGAAATGGTGAGACGCCCCCCCCCAGTACCATTCCTCCCATAATCTTCCCCCTAAAGTAAAATGCCAGACCCCTACCCACTAAAGGTGGGAAAAAACCCAACCACCCTGGGGAGAAATGAGACCTTGCTTGATAGATGAGATTCCAGGTTCCAGCCCTCAGATCTAAACAGTGAGACCCCAAAATGGCAAATCGCCATCATCCATATGATGAGATCCCTTCAATACTAGCCAAGGTTAAGGGATGAGACCATCACTGAGGAAGTGGCCCCTATTCTCAAAGAGTGAGAACAACCCTCCTTCAAGTTAAGTCACTCCCATTCCAGCTCACTGGGCTCTTATCTATAAAAGGAAGAAGCTCCCAACCCCAAACTCCAGAAGATAACCCCGGCAAGTAGGAGTCCCTGAAAGGATCAAGTCTTTGCAGATAGAGTGAGATAGGCCCCAACTCCATCCTCCAAGCCTGGAGTTTATAAGGGTGGCAGAGCTTCTCCTATTCCAGAAGGAGGGATCACCCTCAGCCCTCTCCTGAGGGTGAAAGCACTTCTCACCTTGTTGTCTAGATCCCTGACAAAGCTGACAGCATGCTTACGTGGGAGAAGGAGGAACTGAGGGTCTTGAAGAGGAAAATGGAGACAGATATGGAAAAATCAGAAACTCTACTCAAGGTTAGGAGACCTGGGGCCAAGTTAGAGGGGCTGGAGAGGGATCGGTAATGGATGAACTGCTCTTGGGATTTGTAACAGACTTTGGAGACTGTTAACAGCAACAAATCCTTCAACCCACACTACCTGACACTCATCACAGTTCCACTTTGACTTTTTTTTTCTCTGTATTCTTTTTCCTGTTTTTGTTTTCTGGTTCGTTTTTCAGTTGTTTTAGTTTTTTGTTCATTTGTTTTGCAGTGCTGGGGATTGAACCCGGAGTCTCATGCATGCTGAGCAAGTTATGCTCCCCAGCCCCACATTTCCACTTTGAAAAGTGGAAAAATGGAGGTCCTGAGAGAGGGCAGCATTGGGCCTCAGAATAATAATAGACACCCACTGTGTGCCAAACCCTAAGTAATCACTGAATGAGCTCCTTAAAACTCTCCAGGGAAACAGAAACTATAATCCCTCATTAGAGATGGTAAAATTGAGACTCAAAGAGAGATGACTTCCTCAAGGCACAGAGCCAGCCAGTGACTGGGCTATGATTCTAGGTCAAGTGTCTTGAGTCTAGCTAGCTCTTCACACTTGGTCAGACACCTTCTCTCCCTATATTCTTTGCTCTTGGCAACAGGAATTTCCTTATGAGGATGCTAATGAAGGTGAGAGAGAATCCAGAGTTCAGGAAGCCTTTGGGCCAGTAAGATCAGCTGGTTAGCTTTGTGCACTTTAGATTCATCCATTTGACAAATATTAATCCAGTGCCCTACTGTCATGGGCACTGTGCTTGGCACTAGTTGTTCCTGTCAATCCCGTATGGCTGACAAGGCAGTGAACAGACCAGAGCTGGCCTTGCCCTGGGGGTTAATGGTGGAGTGGGAGGCTTGTGGGGGGGGGGGGGGGGGGCTGGTGTGGTGCTGTCCATGGTGCTGAACATCAATTGCGCACACCCCAATCACCATTATATTCCTTTAATAGTGATTCCTGAAAAGTCCCTCCTCCAGGAAGCCAGAAACAGATTAGGGAAAAGACCATGAAGGTTGACCCAGGAGGGATGTGTTCAAAAGAGAAAATGGGAAATAGGAAGGTATAAAAAGATGCAGCTAGAAACAGACACCCAACACTGGAGAAGACATGGGCTGAATGTTGCTGGAGAAAAATGTTCACCGCCAAGCAGCCTTGTTTCAACTTAAAATCTCAAATTGACATGCAGAGCTTTCCCATGGTACTAGAAGGCTTGCCATCCCACTGTGCAAGTTATTTCATTCCTCCTCTTCTTTCAGACCTCTCCAACACCCTACTCCTTCCTCACTCTTCAGTGCCCCCAAGAAATAGAAGCTGCCAGAAGAAATCTTTCTCGTTGTTCCTGTCAATCCCGTATGGATTGTCCTTTGTAACTGTGGGTTTCTCACCCACAGGTTCAACCAAAAGCAGTAGAAAACTGCATCTGTAGTGAACATACATAGACTCTTCTCATTTTTCCCTAAACAATACCATATAACAATTATTTACATTGCTTTAGACATTATAATTAACCTAGAGATCATTTAAAGTCTATAGGAGAATGAGCATAGGTTAAATGCAAATACTACACCATTGTATAGAAGGGACTGGAGCATCTGTGGATTTGGGTATCTGCAGGGGATCCTGGGATCAATCCTCTGCAGATACCAAGAAGCAAGTCTAATCCCATCTACCTCTGCACTCACCTTCTTCAACATCATCAATATTTCCTTCCTATTTGTTCATTCCCACCAGTGAACAAACAGGGAGTTACCCTTTAAGGGGTACAAATGTTTGGGACGATGAAAAAGTTCTGGAAATGAACAGTGGCAATGGTTTACAACATTGTGTACAGACTTAATGCCACTGAACTGTCCACATAAGTTCGTTAAAATGGCAAATTTTGTGTTGCAGCTATTTTATAATTTTTTTAAAGAGAGAGAGAATTTTTTAATATTTATTTTTTAGTTTTCGGTGGACACAACATCTTTATTTTATTTTTTATGTGGTGCTGAGGATGGAACCCAGTGCCTCGCGCATGCCAGGTGAGTGTGCTACCGCTTGAGCCACATCCCCAGCCCTTATAATTTAAAAAAAAAAAAAAACCATCTCTCTTGATCCCATGTGCCCCTTTGGACAATTCCCCATTCCTCTGATCCTCTTGCTAGACAATCTGCTCTGCATATGCTGACTCTTGCTTCGTTTAGGTAGGAACCAGGTCTGGCCAGAGCATCTCCATTTGCTGACAACTGCATCCCCACATGCTGGCACATTGTCCATCACACATTAGAGCCTGATGAACATTTGAACTAACAAATGAAAGACGTTTTAGGTCTATGTTATTACTCAAATGGATGAATGCCAAAGGGATCACATATTTAGAGAAAGAAGCTGAACATAAAAATAGTCACTATGTGATTCCATAATTCATATGTATGTGATGTGTGTTGCAAGTATAATGAAGTTCTAGATTCAGCAAGCTTTTCACCAAAGCACCAATGTTAAATACTTTCAGGCTTGTACACTCTACGTTCTCTGTCATAACCACTCAACATGACCACCGTGGGAAGAACATGGCCAGAGCCCTGCCCACATGAATGGGCCTGTATAGCCTTGTCCTGACAGAAGTTTACCTACAAAAACAGGCCACCAGGCAAATAGGCTGTGGCTTACCAACCCCTTGAAGAACAGGAAAAACTAAGTTAGCTTAGTAGAGCTAGAGAGGGAAGGGAAGCAGAAAAGGCTACAGGGTTGTGGAAAGATTCTATACAGCATCTGGATGGGAGGAGGTGTTTATATGGCTGTATACATAAGCAAAAAGACCTCTGTTTTGATGAAGTCAGGCCTCAAAATAACAACAAACTGGTGTTGCCAAACCCTGTGGAGTCATTTAATCAACTACTTAAAACTCTCCTGTGGGGCTGGGGATGTAGCTCAGTGATAGAGCGCTTGCCTAGAATGCCCAAGGCCCTGGGTTGGATCACTGCAAAAGGCCAAAAAAAAAAACAAGTTGTTCATATTATATATTTGTTTATATGGGTTAATTTTGCTTCAATAAAGCTAGGGTAAAACACTTAAATCTGTGATTTTAAGTATTCTCACTACAAAAAAAATAAGTATGTATGGTGATGGAAAGGTTAAATATATATATATATATATATATATATATATATATATATATCCCATAAATATATGTGGTCATTATTGGTCAGTTAAAATAAAAATTTAAGTGAAAAATAAAGTGAACCTTGAAGAATGGTGTGATGTAGACCAAAGAGAAAAAAATCTTTTTTCATGAAAAATACATGTCATTTTTTAAGCGATTCCATAAAGGAAATATTTCTCTGGAACTTTGAGGAAATAAATTCAGTCAAAAAATATTTCCATAAATAAAATCCTTTACAAGAATTTTATTTTATAAGGGAAAAAAAAGACTTGAAGGAAAGGCTGGGGGTGTGGCCTTCTGGTACAGCAAGTGTTTAGCATGTGCAAAGCCCTGGATTAAATTACTAGCATCAAAAAAAAAAAAAAAGAAAAATGGAAAAAAAAAAAAAACTGGAAAGGATTAGTTTAGAGACAGAAACGCTTTGCAGCCTGTCGGTCTGGCGCCCCCGAAGCGAAGAAACCACTTTGGGCCACCTACCTCAACCTCCCAGCTCACACTCCGCTTTCTCTTCACTGACCCCAGGCTCTGGCCTCCTGTCGCGATGCTCTGGGTTTCTACTGCAAGGAAAGGCTCCAGGCTGTGGAACTCATGAACCAGCCGCTGGATAAAGTTCTGGAGCAGGCCGGCCGCTACTCGTGGGTGGACCTTACGCGCGCCCCTACCCCGCGTCCTCAGGGCCTGAAAACGCCTCCTCCTGACCCTGTGGGCACCTTTACCCCAGGTAGGCTCCACAGGAAGGAGTGCACAACAGTGGGTGCCATGGTGCCTTTTGACTACTGATGCACCCTTTCACCCACTTAGCTGCCCAGTTCCCTGGGGAATAACAAGCCAGTGTCTTGCCCAGCGCATCTAGCTTAGCTTCTTCCCCTGGACATCTTCCCCACACTCAGTTACTCAGTTTCTAATTCTAAGGAAACCAACCCAAGACGCCATTCAGGATCCCCACTAACAGCCCCTCCCCTAGACTTTCTTCCAACCCCTCAGTAAGCCCCCCTGGCCCACTACCCCCTAAGAATAGTGAAGAGAAAGATGCAGAAAGCTAGTATCTGGGAAAGGACAGCTCCGCGCCCACCAGCGCTTGTCCGGTGCATTGGCAGAGTGCGCCTACGCGCTGTACGAAGCTAAGCGGTTGTTGATGGAGTCCAAGGACACCTTGGCAGAAATGGCAAAGAATGAGACGGACATCCAGAAGCAACAGCAGCAAATAAGCGACCGTGTGTGCGCCTCCCTGGCGCAGAAGATGCGCGAAACGTTGGAACTGAAGGTGCACGCTGCCAGCGCGGCCGGGAGGTGGCAGCTGCGGTCGGGGGTGGAAGAGTTCCGCGGTGGGAGGAGGTGGGACAGAGAGCAAGCTAGATCCCGCTTCAATTCCCCACCCCCAGGAAAGAATAAATATGACGTTAGGACTAATGAGGGGAACTATCCACCGGTGCACGAAATTCAACCAAGAGATGGACGTCACCCGCGGACTCATCAAGGTAAGGTTTAGGGAAAAGGTCTACCGGGATGGCGACGGGACGCGGTGCCGGGGTCGACTGAGACTCAGTGTTCCGCACACCTAACTCCGACAGGGTCCTCTGTCGAAAAGTCACCTGGCGACTCGAGAGAAACTGAACAGACCTCTAGTTCTCATGCACCAGAAACACGTCGGCACCCAACTCCCCGAGGCCGCGCGCCTTGTCCAGGTACGCCGCCTCCTCGTCCCCTCCTATGCGCAGCCTTGCCCCGGCTAGGCATGGCCCCACCCAGGTAAGACTACTTCCTCAAGCACACCTGAACTGGTAAGACCCCCTCACCCAGGTCAGCCTCTATTCTATCCACGAGGGGGCCCTACAGTCCTTTCAACCCCTGTCTTCCAAGATGAGGCCCCCCCCCTCGCTCATCCCGGGCCTGTGCGGTCTCCTTCCTGCACGCCATGCCCAGGTGCATTCCCCATCCCAGGTCCGTCCCTTCTCTCACTCTCCAGGTGCATTCCCTTTCTCGGTTCAACCCATTGCGGGTTCTTTTTCAGGGACACCCAGTCCAGTTCTCCCCCAACCCCGCAACTAAATGCCCCTCTCAGCTATGCTTCTTCCCAGACCGCGCATTTCCACCTGCACACCTGGCCAAGTGTGACGGACCCCCCCCCCGTCCCCCATCTGAGACTCGCCCCCTCTTCAGTTGCTCTCGGTACACACGCACACCTGGCCTAGGTGTGTCAGCCCACCCCAGTAGCGCCATGCTCTCGGCTCCGCTGGCGGTCTCCCAGCACGGCCCCGCCCCCTCTCCAGGGCACTGACAAACTGCAGCGCCATATCACGCACGCGGAAAAGAACCTAAAGGAGCTGCTCGCCACGCGCGATGACCTCACCTGGAGCCTCAACTGCAAGAAGATCGGGCACGACGTGGACTACAACGTGGTTCGCCTGCGTCTTCGTCAGAGGCACCCACATGTGTACTTCGAGCAGGCGCAACGCCTGGTCAATAACTGGGACCCGCGCACTCCGCCGCCGCGTAGCGAGTCCACCGAGTCCAACGCGGCCCCCAAGTGACGTGCAGGCCCCCAGCCCCAGCTGGCTTGACTGTGCGGGCTGGGCCATTGGGAGAGCAGGCTCCCAGCACCGTGGCCCTCTCTCCCCTCTGATTCATTGTTCCTTCAAGCGCCTTATAGCAGAATTATAATTAAAGATACCAATTGTCATTTATTAGATACCTACTGTATGTCAATTACATACTATACAACACATTATAGACAGTGCATCCTGGTAGTTAGCAGAACAGATTTGTGGCCAGATTATAAGTATTCAAGTCTTGGCTCCCCAGTTTTAAGCTGCCTGGCCTTGGGCAAGATGCTGTCCCTTGGTGATCTCTCCCCAACCTGTAAAATGAAGAATATTACAGGAACGCCTTTGCTTATGGTAAGAAGAGGTGAGTTCATATGGGTAAGACCTGTAGCATCGTTTCTGCGTATAGCAATGGTGAGTGAATTTAAGTTATTAGCATCTCCATCTTACAGTTGGGAGAATGGAGGCACCCAAGAGGTTAAACATCTTGCCCAAGGTCACACAGTAAATAGTAAAGCCGGGATTTTCATCACTGACTCCAGAGGCTGCACTCTAAGCAGAATTCCCCTGAGATCTGATCTGTATTCACTTCACAAAGTGCTAGGCCTTGAACCAGGTGCTGAGATTGTAGTTGATTCTTTTGGTTGAGGCCCCAGGGTGGCCTCCTGCAGGAAGCCTGCCCTGATTGCCTCCTTTCCTCCAGTCATAATTCACAGAACTCTTCATATTAAGCCTGTGGTTATTATCTGCTGTCTCCAAGCAGATTCCAGGGTGTGATATAGATAGCAAAGGAGGTGTTCATTACAACCACAAACACAGCCAGCCCTCCTTATCTCTGTGTGTCCTGCATCTGTAGATTTAACCAAAATTGAATCAAAAACATTCAGAAAAAAAAAAAATGTCTGTTCTAAACGTGTGCAGACTTTCTCCTTGTCCTTATTCCTGAAACAATATAATATCATGATTATTTTATAGCATTTACATTGTGATAGGTATTCTAAGTCATCTAGGTGATAGAAAGCCTACAGAAGAGTTGTGTGGGGGAGGATAATGTCGTGTGCAAACACCTCACCTCGTTGTATAAGGAACTTGAACACCTGCAGATTTTGGTGTCCACAGGGGTACTGAAACCAATCCCCACAGACGCCCAGGCAACTTGTATTTCCTTGTATTTCTTAATTTCTTAGGAAACTTGTATTTCCTAAGGAACTGCTGTGTGCCGGAGTAGCAAGAACTAAGCCAAATGTGTCCCTCCTTATGGAGCTGGCAGTGCCCAAGGGAGAATGGCCCTCATGAATATTGGTGTCTTTTTAGCAAAGCCAGCCAGTCACATGGACACAGCACATTTCACAGAGAAGGAAATGACGGTTCAGAAACATAACCTGTAAAATGAAGAATATTACAGGATATTACAACTTGTCCCAGGCTACAAGGTCAACAAGGGATAAGGCAAACTTTAAACTCTGTAACCAGAGTCCTAGGCCAGAGGCCTGACTCCCAGAGTCCCAACAAACCAGGTCTGGCCATTTTCCTATACGGCAAACAGAAAGGTAATGGTGAAAAGCAGGAAAAGAACTTTAATCAGTAAAGCCATGTAGGGGAGGCAAAGGGAGATTCAGCATGTGAGCCCTGTCTTCAGGGTGCTGATGGAGCTCTTGGCTTAAATAGAAGAATAATTGGATCCGGGGGCGAGAGGTCTGGTCTGGTCTGGTCAAACTGTGGTCATGTTGATCTTTAGTTCAGTCCTGGTTCTGCAAGGAAGCTCTAGAGAAGTCCTGTGGCTTGAGGGGAGCAATTCCCACTTGTTGCTCAGGACATTTATCCATCACCGGTGATCATGAGAGGACTGCTCCGGCTTGGTGACAGCATCACTGTGGGGTGATGTGCCTGCCTCCTGCTGTTCCTCGAAGGTGTCAGACAATGACTGAAGACTTCTGGGCCCCACCCAGGAGTCTGAGGCTATAAAACCTGACAGTCAAACGTCTCTACAAATCTTTTCTCAGTCTTGAAGAGAGAGACGAGATAGGTTAGATAAATTCAGGGCTAACAAACCTTGTATTACTAGTTTTTAGATGAGCACTCCTTAAAGGATTAACATGCCTACGTGCAAAGCTGAGCAGTGCCACAAAGTTTAAGGTGATAAAGGAGACAGAGATATAAAATGCAGGCACAGGGGCCAAGCTTTATCCTTTTAGTTACTCATGGGACACCTAAAGGCCTAAGGAAAGAGTCACTGCTTTTAGCAAAGGCAGCCTCTCTAGGTCCCTGTTACAACCCCACACCTTTCCCTTGCTCCCCACTGCAAGCCTGGACCAGGATCATTGGGCCTCATGACAGCCATGTGGAGATGGGGTAAACTATGCCATTGGACGGAGAAATTCACAGCAAAGAGAGTAAATCTGGGGCTCAAACCCACTATCTCTGACTCTGAATCACTGAGTATCACGGCCAACTCCCTCATCTCAAGAGGGACCCCACAGACTGAGAGCCATGGGGGCTCCCTGGGGTTCAGACTTCCTCACCAGTCTCTCTCCTTCAGGCCCTTCCTCCCTGTACCAATCTACAGAGCAACCAGAAGTAGATGGCAGGCTTGATTTGAAGATGTTTAATAAAGAAATGACAGTCCATCCTCACCAATCGCAGACTCCATCTTTGGGAATTCACCTACTCACTAAAATTTTTTTGTAACTTCAAAATCAATCCTCATGGTGCTTTTGTGGGCATGCACAGAGCCCTGAGAAAGCTTAACCACACGACATGCACGTCCCCCAGCTGGGGTCAAACCAGGTGATGCTCCGCCTGCTTATTTCAGCCCTCACTTGAGCCAAGGGTCCTCCTTGAAGTGTGCTTTGCTTTTTTTATGCTTTTACAGATAATAGGGTTTAAAATGCCCCCAGGGTTACTGCTGCCTAATGTCCCTAAGTACAAGAGGGGGTGGTGTTCCTTAGGAAACAAAACATATGCATGATGGTGAAGATTCATTCAAGCATGAGAATATGGCTGCTGGCTGTGAGCTCACCCTAAATGCATCAACAATGTCTATTAAATAAGTTGTCTTTTGGCAGAAACACATAAAACAAGGTTATGTATTGATCAGTTGACAAAAAGTGTGACCAGAGGCTCAAAGGAGCCTGCCCCAGCATCTGTCCAGGAGCCATGGTTCCATATTTACTGACTGAATGTTCACAGGGACTTTAAGAAACATAGTCACCATGAATAATAAGAAATGACTATATTTACAAAGATGTGAGTAGTGGGTAGGAAAACATTAAAGGAAAACTCAGTATCAAGGTGCTAGTAATTGTGGGGAGGTTTTGCTACAGGTAGGTCTGAAAGAACCAAGAAGCAAACAGGAAGTTAGGAAAGCAAACAGCCAATTCTGCACTGCTGCGGTGTGGGTGCTGGAGATTAAGTGCTTCTACCCGCTCCCTCCTTTGGCTGGTGTCCCGATGGGTAGAACCACCCAATGGCTTTTGAGTCTATTGCAGGTTCTTCCTGGAGCAGGGATGGTCCATTTGCAGGCACCTTTTCCCTTTTTGATTCCCAGAAACCTTGCGTGGGGATGCAAATGCTGTTTTTGCAAGCAGTGCCTTGCCCTGTAGGTTGGAGCCTGCCACCCCTGTCCTTGCTGACTCAGCCCCCAGTTCACCACAGCTCATGTAGTACTCCCATCTGCATTTGCACAATCCCCTGCATTGCCTCAGAGCTGAGATTTCAGCTGTTTCCCCAGGCATGAGCTTCAGGCTCTCAGTAACAGACAGGGACACCATAAGATGGGCGTCATCCCCACGTGAGAAAAGAGGAAATTGTCTCAGAGCAGTGGCAAGATTTGTGTATGCCACCCAGCAAGCATGGGGCTACCCCTGAAGTTTAAAGACTGTGTGCATGGCTAATAGCACAGGCAGCAAAAGTAAAAACTGACAAATGGAATTATAGCAAACTAAAAAGCTTCTGCACAGCAAAGGAAAAAATCAAGAGAGTGAAGACAGCTTACAGAACGGGAGAAAATATCTGTCAACTACATGACAGATGGTAAATACCTAGAATATATAAGGAACACAAAAAAACTTAATAATGAAAAATAAGTAATCCAATTAAAAATGGGCAACTACTCAAAGTAGACTTTTCTCAAAAGAAGAAATACAAGGTGCTAGTAATTGTGGGAAGGTTTTGCTACAGATAGGTCTGACAAAGGCATGAAAAATGCTCAATATCATTAGCCATCAGGGAGATGCAAATCAAAACTACAATGAGATATCATCTCACCCCAGCCAGGATGGCTATCATCAAGAAAACTAAAATAACAAATGCCGGTGAGGATATGGAGAAAAAGAAACTCAGACAGTGTTGATGGGAATTCAAATAAGTACAGCCACCATAGAGAACAGCATGGAGGACCCTCAAAAATGTATATATATATAGGTCTAGCACATGATCCAGTTATCCCACCCCAGGTATAAATCCAAAGGAAATGAAGCCAGCATATCAAAGAGATGGCTGAACACTCACACTTACTGTAGCACTATTCACAATAGTAAAGATATGGAATCACATCGGTCGGTGTCTGTCAACAGATGGAAAAAGAGAATGTGGTGCATGTGCACAATGAAATATTATTCGACCATAAAGAAGAATGGAATCTTGTCATTTGTAGCCACATGGATGGAAATGGAGATTATTTTGTTAAGTGAAATAAACCAGAAAAGGAAAGGTAAGTACCATGTATTCTCACTCCTATGTAGAAACTAAAAACAAGGTCAACCTAAAGTAGTGATTTCTAGAGACTAGGAGGGGTGGGGGCAGGAGGTGGGAAAAGGTGGTTGGATTGTTGGATTTTATCAATGCACATTCCATCCATGTGAGTCCCATTAATGTGTGTAATTAATACATGTTAATAAATAAATAAAATTAAAAATTGGTGATGTTTCTTATCCCCAAGAATAGTCCAGGCATCCTCTGCATGGGAACACCTAGAGTGCTTGACCAGGATCCAGATTCCTGGGCCACATTCTAGACCTACAGAAGCTAAATTTCAGAGGGCTAGGTCTAGAGAGCTGCATTTCCCCAGGAGCACCCAATACACACCAATGTTGAAATGCATCCATTCTCTGCTGCCAGATCCCCAGGACTGAATTGTGCATTGGGCACACAAATGAAAGTTGCTAAGTTGCCTAGGCTGGCTTTGAACTTGGGATCTGCCTCCTGAGCCACTGGGATTACAGGTATACACCACAGTGCCCTGCTCATTCT